ATAAGCAGGAAGACAATATACAGCCTTGTTGTACTCCTTTCCCAATTTTGAACCAATCATTTGTTACATATCCAGTTCTAACTGGTGCTTCCTGTCCCACATATAGATTTCTCAGGAGATAGATAAGGTGGCTAGGCACTCCCATTTCTTTAAGAGCTTGCCATAGTTTGCTGTGGTCCACACAGTCAAAGGCTTTTGCTAGTCAATGAAGCAGAAGTAGATGTTTTTCTGGAACTCTCTGGTTTTCTCCATAATCCAGCACATATTAGCAATTTGGTCTCTAGTTCCTCTGCCCCTTCGAAATCCAGCTTGTACTTCTGGGAGTTCTTGGTCCACATACTGCTCAAGCCTACCTTGTAAGATTTTGAGCATAACCTTGCTAGCATGTGAAATGAGTGCAATTGTACGGTAGTTGGAGCATTCTTTGGCAGTGCCCTTCTTTGGGATTGGGATGTAGACTGATCTTTTCCAATCCTCTGGCCACTGCTGAGTTTTCCAAACTTGATGACTTATTGAGTGTATCACTTTAACAGTGTCATCTTTTAAGATTTTAAATAGTTTCACTGGAATGCCATCACCTCCACTGGCCTTGTTGTTAGCCATGCTTTCTAAGGCCCACTTGACTTCACTCCAGGATGTCTGGCTCAAGGTCAGCAACCACACTATCTAGGTTGTCCGGGACATCCAGATCTTTCTGGTATAATTCCTCTGTGTATTTTTGCCACCTCTTTTTGATGTCTTCTGCTTCTGTTAGGTCCCTACCATTTTTGTCCTTTATCATGTCCATCTTTGCACAAAATAAATTCCTTTAATATCTCCAATTTTCTTGGACAGATCTCTGGTTTTTCCCTTTCTATTATTTTCCTCTATTTCTTTGCACTGTTTGTTTAAGAAGGCCCTCTTGTCTCTCCTTGCTATTCTTTGGAATTTCCCTATCTCCCTTGCATTTTGTTTCCCTTCCCTTTTCTATTTGTAAGGCCTAATTGAACAGCCACTTTCCTTTCTTGCCTTTCCTTTTCTTTGGGATGGTTTTTGTTGCTGCCTCCTGTACAATGTTACAAGCCTCCAACCATAGTTCTTCAGGCACTCTGTCCACCAAATCTAGTTCCTTAAATCTGTTCTTCACTTCCACTGTGTATTCATAAGGGATTTGGTTTAGATTATACCTGACTAACCCAGTGGTTTCTCCTATGTTCTTCAGTTTAAGCTTGAATTTTGCTATAAGAAGATGATGATCAGAGCCACAATCGGTTCCAGGTCTTGTTTTTGTTTCTCCATCTTTGGCTGCAGAGAACATAATCAGTCTGATTTCGGTATTGCCCATCTGGTGACGTCCATGTGTAGAGTTGCCTCTTGTGTTGTTGGAAAAGAGTGTTTGTGATGACCAGCTTGTTCTCTTAACAAAACTCTATGAGCCTTTGCCCTGCTTCATTTTGAACTCCAAGGCCAAACTTTCCTGTTGTTCCTTTTATCTCTTGACTGCCTACTTTAGCATTCCAGTCCCCTATAATGAGAAGAACATCTTTCTTTGGTAGCAGTTCTAGGTGTTGTAAGTCTTCACAGAATTGGTCAATTTCAGCCTCTTCAGCATCAGTGGTTGGTGCATAAACATGAATTACTGTGATGTTGAAAGGTCTGCCTCGGATTTGTATTGAAATCATTCTGTCATTTTTGCGATTGTATCCCAGTAGAGCTTTTCCCACTCTTTTGTTGACTATGAGGGCTACTCCATTTCTTCTATGGGATTCTTGCCCACAATAGTAGATATGATAATTGTTTGAATTGAAATCACCCATTCCGTCCATTTTAGTTCACCAACGCCCAGGATGTCAATGTTTATTCTTGCCATCTCCCATTTGACCACATCCAGCTTACCAAGGTTCATAGATCTTACATTCCAGGTTCCTATGCAGTATTTTTCTTTGCAACATCGGATTTTCCTTTCACTTCGCGTCTTTTCAACTTTGGCCCAACCACTTCATTAGCTCTGGAGCTATTTGTATTTGTCCTCCACTCTTCCTCAGTAGCATGTTGGACACCTTCTGACCTGAAGGACTCATCTTCCAGCATCATATCTTTTAGCCTTTTTTTTCTGTCCATGGAGTTTTCTGGGCAAAGATACTGGAGTGGCTTGCCAGTTCCTGCTCCAGGTGGATTGCGTTTAGTCGGAACTCTCCACTATGACCTGTCCGTCTTGGGTGTCCCTGCACGGCATAGCCCATAGCTTCTCTGAGTTACTCAATCCCCTTCACCACAACAAGGCAGCAGTCCATGAAGGTGGCAATCCGTGAAGGTTTCCTCACATTCAAGTTCCTTTGAATTTACTCCCAGATAACTGGATGTAGAATTGCAGTCTCATGGAGATTTTTTTTTTTAAAAAAATTCCTTGTTACAGGCAAAAGTTTCACCATCAGTTTTCTTAGGCATGGTAGAATAACATTCCTCACCTTGACACCTTTCAGATGTGTTGGGTGACTGTAGCTTTCACCATGCGGAGCCACAGTATGAGTACACTGACTGTGGATAGTGGTTGTTGTAGTCCTGTGCATGTGAAGAGCACTAGATTGGGAAACATTCTGTTAGGGAACCATGGGATCTGCGTATATTGTGCTTCCCTGATAAACGGTTTGGGTTGTTTTTTCTTTGTTTGTTTAATTTTTGTTAGAGCCTCCAGATATCTAGCTTTGCTTTCTTAGTCGAAGGGAGCTAAACAAAGACTGTGGTTTGATCAGCAGATCTGAGCATAGAAACACATGGAAAATACCTTCTTTCTGAAGCAGAAATGTTTTTTCAAGCCCTACTGATCAAGGTGGCTGTGTTTATCCTGCCACCACATCTGAGAGCTCAGAAGGCACATAGTGATGTGTTGGGAGAGGGGAGATTCTCGGCTTTAGAATATTAGACTGAACTCTGTACATAATTATTCACCATGAAAAATGCCTATATAAGCAATCTTTTAAGATCCACTGTGGCTTGTGTGATTCAGATTTAGTCCGAAGTCTACCAAAATTGGTAAGAGTCACCTCTTTTATTTTATTGAGTGTTAGAGTTAGACACTTTGATAGCCTACTTAAAAATCTCTGCCTGGAAAACCAACCTGATGATATGAACTGAATAATTGGATGATTCCAGTCTAGTCACAAGGTCTTGTGTAACACAGATATTTGATCTACACTTAATGCTGTCTACTTCCAGCACCTGCCCACAAAAGCTGTCATTGTGTAGGAGCTTCAGACATCTATGTCATTTTTAAAAGTTCTTCATGTACCAACCCACATGTGGTCTGGCATCTGTATACAGATAAAGCTGCTGCCTGGGCCACAAAACATTAACCTGTAGGTACTCTATGTATGTGCTCCACAGCAATCCTTTTAATCCATACATGGGGTTCAATATATACAGTATGTTACTAGTTAATGCTATGCAGTCAGCTTAGTTTAAATCAGAGGCGGGTGGGCTTTTCTCCATATGCTGTTGGACTGCAACTCCCAACAGCCCCAGCCTGCATAGTTGGTGATAAGAAGCAGAGGGAGTTGCAGTTCAACAACATCTGGAGAGCCACAGTTTATCTGCCCAAGAGATGATGACTGAGGTCTTATCCATCCACATAAGATCTTGGAAATGGTACTTCTTTGAACTCACAATCAGCATGAAGATCACGCCAAGTTATATAGTTTTTAAAAAGCAACTTTATGGTAACACTGACTACTTGATTGGTTCCAAAACCTAATGCATGTTGGAGGAGTTTTGTATAGACTTGCTGGCCAGTGAAACATTTCAGAAACATTCAGGTTCTGCAAGTATAGCCAGGAACGTGGAAGGCATAAAAGAGTGCAGACCCATTTTGCTTCCCTCAGTTGGCAAATCATAGCAGAATACAATCCCCAACTGTTGAACTTTAATGAATTCTGCAATATTCAGCACAGGTAAATCCTTTGAGGTAAATCTCACTGAATAGGTCTTTGCCTGACAGTAGAAGGGCAGCGGGGAAAGGAACAGCTTAACAGCCACTGACAAGGCCTTTTCTTCTGTCCTCACCAGATGTGCATATAAGGGTGAGGCAACCAAGAGAATTCCTGCAGAAGAAATTAAAACCTGTGAGAGCTCGTGGGGGGGGGAACAAAGTCTCATGTAGAATAAGGCTTTGTTGGTCATAACTAGGATTATTGTCAGAGGGGTGTTCTAACAAGGGATATGCTCCTCAAAACCAGCTCAGGTTGGAAGTCTGGCTGCAGCATTTTTTATCATCTGGAGTTTCCAAACAATTTTCTAAGGCAGCTCCATATAGAGTGTGTTATACAGTAGTATTGTGTCTGGGTTGTAACTAAGGCATGTTCCACCACATCAGAGAGTTATTTCCTGTTAATATAGTTTCATATTCGAGAAGGAGTTCAGTCAGTCACCTAATTTGTTTGCAAGCACATCCATCCAAATATATGTATGAGATGGTTCAAGATTAACTCATCTACAGAGTACACCTGCTAAAATCATAGAATAATGGAAGGCGTGTATAAAGCCACCATGAGGACTTAAATTGGGCATGGCTGGTTTCAATGGATTTACTTTTAATCAATCTGCATCCAACCTATATAGATATATAAAAGCATATATTTCCATTATCTGGAAGTTATGATCTACAGAGTGCAGAAGCAAAAGAACTTTTAAAAAGAAGTATTCAGATGATGTTGTTGAGTTCACTGGTTATTTTAAATATCCCACCTTTGCTGTGCATTGAACAACTTTTCTTTAAATAATGTAGACAGGGACTGATTTTTTTAAAACCCAAGTTCCGTCTGTGACATAGGATTGGATAGCTGCCACTGTTAGCCTTCATAACAATGGCGACACTGTTAACATTGTAATAAACCAGTGCTCTGAAAAGAAATGTGTCCTTAAAGGACCTTGACATACAATGCCATATACTTCTGCAGAAACACTTTCCCAGTGCAGCACCCTCTGGAGATGTGGAACTATAGTTTTATTCATCTCTGTGCTGGGGATTTGAGGAGTCATATTCTAGCACATTGAGAAGGTACCAGGTTGGAAAAGCCTGCACTAAAGTATCCAGTATCCTCTGCAGCAAACATACGCTACAAAGTAATGTGGTGTTAGGTTCAAGAAGTAAACATTTTGTCTGTGATTTTGGAAATCATTTTTCCTTTCTCTGACATGCCACTGATCGCAATGAACAGGATGCTGTTTGGCTTGGTATGGATGGGCTAAAGAACTCAGTACCTTCTGGTTGGAGGAGGTTTAGCAGATATATTTTGCTTTCATGCTCAGATGGTAAAACGATTGCCTCACTGTGAAGGAATTTTCCCTCTAGCTTGACCGTATGGTTTGCTTGCCTTTTGCCTTCCACTGTCATGCATGACGCATCTCATTTATTTGAACCATCTGGATGTACATTAACTAACAATATTCCTTGTACTCCATTTAACTCTGTTTTCTTTTCACTGTCACTTTTACACTACAGACTGGAGGAGGAAGTGCCACAACTGAGTTCTGCACTCTCAGTAGCCACTTTATTCTACAGGCATTTATTATGGTCTGGGCTCCACGGTGTGCTTTGGTGCACAACCAAACAAACCTTCTTCCAACGAGTCAGGCTGTATGGAAGTTATTTTTGGACTACAATACCAAGAAAGGATTCAGGGAATTGTAGTTCACAAAAGTTAATTTTTCAAAGCTTGGTGTTCAAGTGGTTTTCTACAGTTACAGAGTCCATGTGCTTAAGCATAGCTGTATTACTTACAAAAATCCAAAAGAAAGTTGTAACCATAGGATATTGAATATATTTTTACAAGCATGACAAGAATTCATGTTATTTAGTTTCCTTATTAATGAAACTCTGGGTTAAAAATACTGGGAGGCAGAAAAATCACTGCACACCTGAATCCCATTTGCCATCATCATCATCCTCTATAAATAAAATTGATATTTCCTCGTAGAAAAGTATGCATGTTTTCTGCACAACAAATTTCTTGAAGTGGTTCAAATCCCTTCACAATGAAGCCTGCTGACTGTGCTTCCGTCTCTCCCCCTCATGGCTCTCTCCCCCCCCCCCCCCAATTCTCTCATACACACACATACCACTTTATCTTTGGGATAAAATAGGTTAACTCCAGCTACATTTTCCTGAGCTGCCTGGAGAAAGAAAGATGAGATACAATAATATGAAATTAATAAAGCTTTACCCTCAAACTGCCACACTCCTTTTCTTTAGCAAGGAATAAATATAAGTGAGAGGTGGAAACCTGTGTTATATAAAAAGTAGTTTCAGAATCGCCTGTGCTGTGCCTACACCAGGGTGGAGAATTTTTGATCTCCTGCATATTTTTGCCTGCAGCATCTCTCAGCCCTGTACAGTGGGGCCAGTGGTAAGGAGTTGTGAGTATTATAATCTAAACACCTGGAGGGCCAAAGTTTCCCTCCCTAGTGGCCTATATTTGTGTTTTTAAATCCAGATTGCGATTCTCTAGGCTCCATGTCAATTCCTGTGTTTCACACAGACATACTGAGTACAATTGATCTTGTATACAAATGATTTTATTTCAGTGCAGTAGCCACTGGACTCCACAGTTGCTCATCAGGGATTAGCGTCTGAACAGCAGCAGACTGAGCAGGTATTCCAGCCACCTGATTACAATCTCCTCCACTACAGTGAAATTTATTACATTTCTGTTTAAAGCAGAGATGAGCAATTGTGATACTCCAGATAATGTTGGACTACAACTTTTGTCAGCTGTATCCAGTGTACCTAGTTGTAGAGATGTTATGGGGAACTGTAGTCCAGCAACATCAGGAATGCCATAGCTGCATGATAATTATTCCTACGTATGCATCTGTACATACTAATTAACATTTGTACCAGCCATATATGCATGTACCTGTTCTTGCCCTCTTTGGGGGTGATGTTTAAGTAAATTCCCTACCTTTGGTTCAGTTCTGACATTCTGTGGTTTTATATATCTTTTGTTTGTTTTCTTCCAGGTATTCTACTGATCTTGGCAGTGACAGAAGAATTAATATTTGCTGTTCAGGTGCTGTCTCCGAGTTTGGCATCATCTTGGGGCCTCCTGACAGACAGTAGTAATATTTCAGCAATGGGGACAACTCCTGGATATAAAGGCCATCACACAGCCAAAACTTTACCTACAGTAACTCGTGCAAACTTTTATTCTACTAGTTCGGTGGAGACTTTTGCTTCTTCAGTTGGCCAGAAGAAAAGAACCAGCAGCTATCCTATTGGCAACAAAGAACCGTATCACTTATATAACCAGAGTGCTTTGTTTCCTGGAAAGATTCGCGCAAAAGGGAAAATGGTTCAGATTGTCCATGGAAATTCCACAGATTTTACAGAGCCTCATCTAAAGACAGAACTGCATTCCTCTGCTACCACAAGGAACTGGTCTCCAAGTCATCCACTTCAACCTCAAACTACAGCCCACAGCAGTCCTAATAACACGGTATTGATAACCACACCAGATTCTGTGGCTTCCTTCTACAGTGATGCCTTGGAAGGTCTTAACAAAGGAGAGAAAGAGGGCTTATCAGAACTGGTTAAGCAAGAAACCAATCTTGTTACCCCAGTGACTGGCCCATCAGCTGCTCCAGAAATAGGGACAGTGCCTTTCAAAACCCCACAGCATGGCATATGGGAAATCCTGAGCAAAAATAATTCTTGGGGCATCTCAAACCAGAGTATAAACCAGGTACCCTTTTTTTCTAGCCCTGGGACAGTAGCAGCAACAGCAACAACTACAACAACAACAACAACAACATTTGTTCATTCTGGTCAAACTGGAACAAATGTCGATGCTTCCTCTTTGCATACAACAGGAAGCTCTAATCATGGAACATCAGCTACACTGTATCCTTTGTGGCATAATGCCAACTTGCCAAGCAGTGCGCCCTCTACAGAACCATCCACGTGGATGTCAAGTTCCCCTTCCACAGCAACAGGAAACTTCCTAAACAGACTTGTGCCTGCTGGAACCCGGAAGCCTGGTATGCCAGGGAACATTTCTCATGTCACAGAAGGGGACAAACCCCAGCACAGAACAACCATTTGTCTCAGCAAAGTGGATATAGCATGGATCATCTTGGCCATCAGTGTACCAATATCTTCATGCTGTAAGTTAAATGTCTTTTTAAGGGAAAAACATTACTGAGGTATATTGTGACTGCATTTGCCCAGTACAGCAACTCATGTGCTTTGTTGTAATTTGCAAACCTGCCTCTGCTAAAAAGTTCTGCTTTCTTAACCAACCACAAATCACAATCTGAACTAATGGGTATGAATTGTGACTTATATAAACCATGAGTTGTTGTGACATATGAACCAGCAGCTGCTGCTTCTCTCTGTTGCCCACTTTAAAATGGGAGAAATGCGTAAAAAATGAGAAAGACAATCCACAGTTTGGTAATCTGCTGTGCAATATGTCACTGAAGTAATAAACAAGATTAGCACAAAGAATAATTCTGTATACATAGACATGTACTGTAGAGGTTTAACAGAACAGGGAGTCTCTGTGGCTTGTTTGCAGATGTGTAAAGACACTGCATGGATTATATACACATAATGAAAAGATTAAGATAACTATCAGCCAGGGAAAATGTACAACTCTTAGTAGTTAACACTTGAACTCTTTTTATTAGTCTCATTTTTAAATCTGCTAACAGTCATCTGACACTATTCCTGCATCACTAGGTTTGCTAACGATCACTGCTGTTTATGAGTTACTACAGTGGGGTCTTGACTTGAGAACTTAATCTGTATTGGAAGGCGGTTCTCAAGTCAAAAAGTTCTCAGGTCAAATCTGCATTTCCCATAGGAATGCATTGAAAACCATTTGATCCGTATCTGCTCTTTTCCATCCATAGAAACTAATGGGAAGCTGCTATTCTGCCTTTGACCAGTAGAGGGGGATAGTTTGTTTCTTTTTTTCTTAGGTCAAGAAAGGTTCAGGGAAGGCAGGGAAAATACAGTCCAGGCAGTTCAGTACCAGGCAGTCTGAAGCCTGTCTCCCAATCCACTCTCTAAACGCTGGGAGGAGCGAGGAAGCAGACAGGCACCCTTTTCACTGGCCAACAGTTAACTGAAACTTCACATTTTGCACTTTCCCTGCCTCCCACGTGGCTTTTTTTCAGTTCTTAACTCAAATCTAAGTATGTAAGTCAAGTCAATGTTTTCCTATGAGAGTGGTTCTTAAGTCAAAATGTTCTTAACTCGGGCCGTTCTTAAGTCAAGACCCCACTGTAGTTCTCTTCTGCCCAGTTAACACCATCCTTGAAGGTGCAGGTGTTGTTGGTTAATAGCAGTTCCAAACAATAGCATAGCTTTTAGAAGTTGGTAGCAAATTACAATTATAAGGCTAGCATGTGCTGCTTTCTCCCATATTTGTTCTGGGCAACAGTGGTTGTGTCTTTGGCCCCTTGCTGGCTTGTGTCCATATGATACCTCTTCCAGGTGTATCATAGATCTTTTCCAGCTTTTGCTGCCATTTTGAAATTCAGGTGGATGCGTAGCACTGCTGCAGTCTTACCTAGCTGCAGGATTTGTTCATGAGTAGCCATGGCTGGTCTGGAAATTCTGAAATCATCATTAAGAAAATAAGCTGCTGAACATGCTGCCTCTGATTTTCCACTTTCAACATTGTCTTTAGTCTCCATCACATAGAGTAACAAGGGAGAATAGTAGCTCAGTTGCTTTTTCCTAATGGTTTTGAAAACAGTGTCTGGTATAATTAATTTTCTCTTCTACTGATGGATATTACTTCACTGGAGTTAATTATAGCCAGACTTGGTCCATCAGGAGAGATTAAGGGATTTGATTGTAGAGAAACATGGAACACTGTGATTTCAGTTCTTCTGCACCAAGATGATTAGCATGCTTTGCATTAAACAAGCAAATAAAAAAGCATGCAGATTCGTTAACCAGGCTAATCTGGAGGGGGGAAAGCTACCTCCCTAAAAAAAAGGCCACTGTCTATTAACCCTTTCTCCTTTGCCAGAACAGCATTCAAACATTGCATTCCAGGTTGTAAAATTACAGTCCATACTAGAAGAGGAAGACGAGGAGGCAAATGGGTTTCTAGTACTGAGTCTTCAGATGTGAATCATTTACATTACATAGACTGGAATCCATTTATGGAAGTTAGCCTGTCTGGCTAATAAAGCCAAATAATTAAACTGTCTGGGACTAGAACTCTAGGCTACATATTTGACAGCAAAGTCCAATAGTAGGAATGAACTACAGATAGTAGTTCTACATAGAACTACATAGTAGGAAGGAACTAAAGTGGCTGAGCACATGCTTTGCATGCAGAAAAGTGCAATTTCAGTTCTTAGCAGCCCTGGCTAGAATACACAATGGTGAGGAATGATGGGACTTGCAGTCTGGACATTTGTAGGGACAAACACTCAGTCTAGAAGACCAAATAACAATGCCTGGTTGTGACCCAAAGTTTGACACTGAGGGATAAGACCGTAACATTTTCATTGCTGTGAAAGCATTTACCCTTGGTAGAATGTCATGACAATTCCACAAGCTTATGAAACTGTTTCATATACATGGTCCAGCAGGACTTTTCTTATGCTATGATCTTATGACATGAAGAGATTTTATCAGAATGGGGCATCTCTGTAATGTTTTTGTAGGTGATGCCATGACCCAAAACAACCCCAGAAATGGATGAATTTCAGCATTCAGAGGAGGTACTGTAAGGAAATTGCATAGTCAAACTTTTGGAGATGTGCATGCTCTTAGAGCCATCTTGTGGATACAGAATGCTATCTCAGAAACAACTCAAACTATTACTCAGTTGATGTTGTAGGAGGCATATTCTTTATATTCCAGCCATACAGGTTGTAGGTTTCAGTAAAAAACAAAGAACGATGAGCATCCCCAACAAATTTCTACAGCACAAATGCACACATTATACTGTACTTGGTTCAGTAAAAATGCTGCTTGATCCAGAGTACTGTTGTCACATCAGAGCTCCTCCTAGCTGTGGAGACGGAAGTTGGGAATATGATTCCTCACTGTGCCTTGTTGACAGGATCTGGACTCGATGGTCCATAGCATCCCTTCCAGCTCTGCAGTTCTGAGATTATTATTATTCTCTCTTCCCCATCCTTCCTCTCTCACACACATATAATATACACATGCATACCATAGATTGCTAGATTTGGGCAATAAACTCTACTTGTTTTTGGCTTTTATGTGGCTGGTAAAATTTCTTTTTTCTTTTCTTTTTCTTTCTTTTTTTTTTTTTGGACAGGAATTCTTAGTGGCAAAAAAAATCCCGAGGACATGAAATGTAGGCTCTTTAGCTTACTTCGTAGCTCACAGGCAGCCATGCAAAATTGCATTTCTTTGTTTTAGTATTGGATCTAAGACTTTGTTGATAATAATTCTAGGGGATGGAGTCTTCAGCAGTCTTTATAGTATGATTCACATTTCTCAGATCTGTTGTTGAACTGTTCTGTTCTCTTGCCCTGAAAGTCTTATTCTCTTGAAATCTACCGTTCTTTCCCACTTTTGGAAACACTTGCTCCATAAGGAAGGTGGAATTCATTATGTCATGTCAGGATAATAATAACTCATCGATCCTGTCATTGTCATATAATCTTTGATTGCTTACTTGGCACACTGTTTTTTCATGAGCTTTGAAGTAAAAGGCAGGCGTTATAGTCTGGGTATGGCACAAATACTCACCCGAACAAATCACTTGTCTTGTCATTATAATGTGAGATAAATAATCCAGTCTCTCTGATGGATACACCAGTTGTAGCTGCCTTGTGCTGTGTTAACTGCTGTGTTTTCCTGAAAGCCAGTTTGCACAGCTTCCTTTTTGTCAGAACCAAATCATCCATACTAGTTTTCCACTGCAGATCATTCGACAAATGGTTGATGTAGAAAGGAAATTGCTGCCACCTTCAGGATCCAAATATAGATGCAACCTTCAGCCTTTTCATGATTAAATGACAATTGCAGGTTCATTTCTATACAATTTTAATAATATTTTTTAAAAATTAAATTAAATCCATCCATTCAATCAATCAATCAATCTATCATTCACATGCTGCTTTTCTCCCTAGATGGGACTCTGGATGGCTTACAAATCAATTAAAACAACACAAATCATCACCATTCAAAACATCATAAAATATAGTATTAAAAACAATCTGTTAACAATATTAAAAACAGTCATTAAAATACTCTAAAAACATATTTAAATATCTCAGTTCAATAACTGCAGTATTCCTAAAACCCCACATGTCCAAATCATTTAAAAGCCCTTTTAATAAGAAAGGTTTTCACCCGCCATTGGAAGAACAGGAAGGAGGGAGCCAACCTAGCTTCTTAGGGCAGAACATTCCACAGCCAAATTAATTTATTTATTCCATACACTTACATGCCACCCAAATATTGCTAGACATTACTCTGGGCAGTTTACAATCAATAAGAAATCCAGTGTCACAGCAGATCAACAGCAATAAAACAAAGATAACCAAAATCTAATCCAATAAACCAGACATAGAACCTAAGTCAAGAGTTTGGTAGTGATTTGTTTTATAATGTTTTTCTGCTTGGCAAGGGAAGGAAAGACCCAGCTTTGCATTCTCACAAAAAGCAGGGGAATAACTTCCTGGGGACATGGGGCAGTATTGGACTGTTCAGCCTGCAGAGACCTGCACTCCTGCGGTTGTTCCCTCCTGTCAGCTCCGACACAGCTTGAGGTGCACTCTTATGGTGCTAAAGGCAAAAATGCCTCGTGAAAGCATCCTTGCATTTTATGAGTGCAAAACAAAGTATCTCAGTTAGTTACTATATTTCTGTCCTTCTGCCCTACCTCACAAGGTATAGTAACAAGCCATTTTACCAATTGGAGGTCCTTTAAATTTTCATAGTTTGGACTGAATTTATCGTGTTTTCTGTATTATCCCACTGAATTACATTGTTTCCCTTGTCATCTTATTTGTCATTCTCTACCTATTGTGCATCGGTCCTTATGTATCTTTTAAAAACTGAGGAAAAATAACAGTGGACATTCTCTAATTTGATCACAGGGTTATGGTGCCCATATTTTCCACTTGAAGGGAATTGTGGTTGATCTTCCCACCAGAAG